GGCACCGACCCCCTGCGCCGGGGGTCATTATGGTGCAAAGGGGGGCGGTGCCCCCCCCCCCACCACCATCTATCTCCACCGCCCGCTCTCAAATATTTGAAGTTGAGATAAAGCAGGCAATGGCAGATCAGGAAGTCTCCTCCATGTGAATAATGAGGAGTTGACACGACAACAACACAAGTTCAATATTGACTCTGTGGAGCAGCAGCAGCTGGAGACGTCCATAATGATATGCCGTGATGTGACGTAACAGAGGCGAAGGGGAACCAGCCTCCACCTGGAGATCGAATATGTATTTCTTACAGTGACATTTGAGGCTCTACTCCTATACAAACAGTGGCTCTTCTGTTCTTCTTACAGCCTCAGGTCAAAGGGGGGGGGAGATTTCATGTTCCACAAATGGAAGGGAATGGTCTATAAATTGGACTGCTTTTGTATGCAAATGCTTGGATGTTAATTAACACCTGACTTGTTGATTGTGGGCCCTTGTTTGGCCTTTGATTGAAAAGAAATGGCACCAAGGAGCATCAAGATGTAGCTTTGAACTACAGGCAACTTGGCTTTGATTGGCATGGGAAGGAAGAAAGACTGAGAAATATCACACACAGGCCATCTTAATTTCCCCGAATTAGCGGTTGTAATGTGAGGGGAGGAAGAGGAACAGCACTGGCCGGGTTAGGGTCAGACTGAGGAGGACCTCCTTAGACTGGCCCGTGGGCTGGACTGGACAATAGATTTGATGTGAATTTACATGTCTGCACTGATGACGGTGATGATGATGATGATACCATTAGACAGACTGGTAGAAGGCCTGTAGTACAGACTACACATAATCGCACCATAATCAGGCGTCTATATCTGTGCAGTACAGATATATATGTATATTTACACACACACATATATATATATATCAACCCTTTTTATTTCATTTGTCAGCATAAATGACTTTATTCTCAATCTAATTCTGTGGATATAATAATAATAATAATAACATTGCAAACACCATATATGGTGACAGGAAGTCATTATTATAATAATATTTAATTTCATATTTTAGTGGCAACATTTTCAAGATTCTGTGCAAAATATATATTTTCTAAGACACTTGAAAAAGTTGCTGATACTTCATGATGCACGGATGACTCACTGTGTATAAATATTGTATGAGTAGAAGTTTGAGTGGGAAATATATATGTATATATTTATATATGTATTTATGTATATATTTATATATGTATTTATGTATATATTTATATATGTATTTATGTATATATTTATATATGTATTTATGTATATATTTATATATGTATTTATGTATATATTTATATATGTATTTATGTATATATTTATATATGTGTATATCTATACTGTATGTATATATGTATATATATGGAATGAAATAATACATTATATATTTACCATGTACAATTACTCAAAAAAAGGCCACTACCTCTGCAGTAATGCTGCTCAAACAAGTAGAATATTTAACTGAGTTCAGTGTATTTAGTTAGTTATTATTGAGTTATATTTATGTATTTATGAAGAAATAATGGCAAATTTCACATCAGTGCATTGAAAGGGGACAGCATTCTAACATTGTGTTGTATTTTTTTTGTTGTATTTATAATCGGCAGCTAGCAACATTTTCCCCATTGGTAAAAGTCTAGAATAATCTCGTTACATTAGCGCGTGTACAGACAGTCTGACAGCGTTGCATCCAGCGCTTAATTAATAATTTGTTCTTGCGTGGAAGCCGCGGCCACCGCAGCCCTGAAGTGAGCAGGTCTGGCAGTCATCTGTCATTTGCTCTTCCTGTGTGTCCCCTTCAGTCTGTCTGACATCTCCAAGCAAACGCAGGCCAATACACAACCGCAGGCCGGGCCTTGTGGAGCAGCCAGCGAGGGAGCAGCCCTCTTCTAATGTTTGTGTGACAAAAAAAGGCAAGGCAAATCCTCACAATGGAATCAGATAATCACCAACCTGTGAAGAGCCTGCCCCAATCCACATCCACGCCGGCCCCCTGGCCCCTGGATTAACTGTCTGTTTGGCTAATAATTTTAATCTGCTGAAGAGAGGCCCAAGAACGGGTGACATGGGGCTCAGAATAAACATCTAATCCTGACCGCCACCGACTCCCGTCCTCCCCTGCTCCACTTCCTCCTCGACTCCCTTCCGCCACGTCCGATACACTTTTACTATCACCTTACACTTGTACTATCTGCCCGGGCCACATTGCTCCGTGTGACAGACTGCTGCCAGACTGGCCCGGGCTGACATTGTGCAGTGGAATGTACACATCAGAGTGTGTTGGTGTTGTTGCGTGTGCGTGTGTGTGTGAAGGTAGACAAGAGTGCTACTGAAGAGAGGGCACTCCAGGTTCGTAGGGTCAGGAGATGTCTGTGTCTGGGGCACATGTGTAGCAGCAGAGGACATGGCGTACAAAGATGTAGGAAAGGAAAAAAAAAAAAGAATTCAAAGTTGAACTGTATACACATATAAAAGCACCATTAGGTTAAAATATATATATATTTTTTAATTTTATTTAATTAAAAATGGAGAAAAACAGAAACAAAATGACGGTTTTTATGCTTGAAAAAAAATCCCAAAAAAATGCTGGTGTAAAATTTGACATTTCTTGTACACAATTAACCTCAGTTACCCAGTTTAAAAAAAAAATACAAAAAAAAAAACCTGATCATATCAAAATGGACTTCTCAACACATTTGGCCTCCACATAAAGTCAAACAGCTTCACTAATACAAAAGTTGACTTAA